GAAATAATTTTGTTACAGCATCAATGCTGATTTTGGTGCTTCCTATGCTTGCTGATTTTGATGCTTTCTTTGCTTGCTGATTTTGATGCTAGTTATCCTTATCCTGATCCTGGTTTGATCCTTATCCTGATGCTGGTTTGAAACTAGGTCAATGCTAGTAATGCTACCGGAAGTAGGATTATCCTGCCGGAAGTGGATAATTCAAAAACAGCATCGCTATTTTAAGCCATTTAAATTAATATTTTGGGTAATTTTTATTTGTAATTTGTATTAAATGACTTTCCTTTATCTGTTTTCACTATGGTCAATGCTAGTTCTATCCTTTGCTTGCTGATGCTGATCCAAGTAATGCTGTTTTTTTAAATGCTGATGCTGATACTAGTTCTATCCTGATCCTACTTATGCTGATCCTGATGCTGGTTTATGTAACAAAATTTGTTCCCTGCACTGTACAAGTATTTGCTGGTATTTCAGTCTGATAATTCTATTTACCTTTTGTTTTCAGTTGTTGCTTACGTAAAGTCCTTTATTATTTGTCTTTTGTAAGTTAGGACATGAGTTGACATTCCACATGTTTTACTTTTTAAACAGGAAGTGTCATCCATGTTGGCAGTCTTTCCGTAGTACTTTTGATAGCTGCGTTCTGATTGGTTAACTTAGCTTTAGGATCTTTGATAGTCATTGGCTTTTATTTTGGGCCTAGCTAGGGTATTTAAACCTGTGTTCGAGCAGTTTACTTCACTTGGTTAGGGATAAGCCTCATGGCACATTATCTCTGATTTGATGCCAACCTCAAGGTACACGGCATTATAGGTTTCTTTTAGCACGTGCTGAGTGAGCACTTTTTGATAGGTTAGGATGTAGGTTATTAAAAGTAAATTAGGTTTCCCTTTACAAGTCCTGCCTGGTCTAGGGATATGTAGATAACAGGTTTATTTTCTAGAACCACTATTTATTATTTATTTTTGGGTGTTGTTTATTTTTTTGGGTCAGTTATTTTTAGAGCCTAGAATTAGTATTGATATTTTCAGATTAACTCTAGAGTGTTGATAATAGTCATATTGGGTGATGTAGCTCATTCCCTTTACATTTTTTTTCATCTCCTTAGGATTTTTGACCATTTTCATAAGTATGGAAGCCCAGTAGGGACATAGATTATTTTTCATAGTTTTGCTACATTCCTCCCATTTTTTCATTACATTTTTCAATTATTTATTTATTGAGATTATTGAGATTCATTTTTCAGATTAAATTACATTTTTGATAAAGCTTTATTTATCCTGTGCCATTTTCAAAGACGTTTTCTGTTTGTTAAATTTTGATCATTATTTATTATTTGTTATCATTTACAACGGTTAATTCTCACTTTATTAAATTGATAAAACTTACAACTGTGTTTTCATTTAGCGTTGACCATAGTTCAGAAATCCCCTTACCTGGGTTGATCATTTATAACTGGAGATAGTTTACTCCTTTCAGCCAAGTTGGTTAGTAACTTTGGTAATTTATACACTGAAGAGTTCTACTTCCGGTTACAAATTAAAAAGCATCTGCCATCCAAAGCAGAGAAAGTTTATACATTTCTGCATTTGAACAATTTAAGCAAAATATTTTTTTCCATGTTTTGATCTGAGTAACTAAACACCACCTCATGTGTTAGGCACAGATAAGTATGATTACTTTACATTATTTACCAATCCGGCCTTTATCATGTTCTGACACCAGAAATGTCCGGTTTTATTCTTCTATTCTAGAAGTTACAGTCTGGTCATGAAATAAGTTTTAAATTTTAGCTAAATAAAACTACTTTAGGAAGGAAAAAAAAATCTATGAAGGTTATTGGTAATTGAAGCTAAATACTAGTACTAGTACTAGTACTAAATACTGGTTGTACCAGACCTGTGCGTAAACAAACAAGCACCATATAGTCATGATCGATATACTAAGTCGTAAATATTTACCTATGTATCTGACACGGACACAGCATACAAAAAATCTGTTCTGCAAAAATTTCACTTCTTCCATCATACCAGTTAACATCTGTATGGTCATGGTCTTTAAAATGTCTATACAGAAAACAACATCAGGCACAGATCGATACCGGTGTACCCACGTGATGCTGCAGCGGACACTGGACAAGGAGTAGTTTCACCAAAATTATGTTCATGTTCGGCTTCAGTCTCACTTCTATTTTGATTCTCATGAAGATGCTTCAATTTCGAGAACCGTAAAGATTTAATACATATTGTAACTTTGTCTTCTAGCCTAAGTCGAGGAAATTTCTCGATCGCTTCGTCGGCCATCTTGTAGCATAGACAATAATGTGTAAATGGAGACTTTTATTTGACGGCGTTCCGGAATCCGGAAAAAAAGCACGTGCAAATATGCGAATTCTTTCTATCACGTGATTGCTATCGGTCTCTACCTTTAATATCTATTTAGCACCATTTGGCCAATTTCAACAAAACTTGCAACAGAGTATTATTGGGTAAAGGGGATTCAAATCTGCCAAATGGAGGTCGACGCGTTTATTATGTAGGGGAGATAATTAACACATCTTTTTTAATTGCATGTAATTACAAAATAACTAAAGTAATATTGTCTTGTACAACAAAATGGAGTTGAAAAGTTATGCAAAATACACATTTACTAGTATTCCGTCTAGTGCTAATTATGTGAAAAATACTTTGTCTATTACCTGCATGTTTCTGTTTTATAAATATGACTAAAATGACATTTTCATAAAAATTTTCAAATGACAGCCATGTTTTCATAAAAAAAAATGTCCTGGTTGTAGGGTCATTGAAGCACAACTTTGGATTAGCATCTTAATCTTTATAGTGCATATTTAATACAAGTCACTATAAAACTTGTATATGCCATTCATCTCCGGGTGTTGCTAAAACGCGGAACAGAAAACGGAACGGAAAGCGGAACGGAACGGAAAACGGAATATATTAGTATAGATTAAATCACTTAAAGTACACAAATTTTGTCATAAACAATATATTTTAAACACATTCAATCTCATATTATAAAAAATAAGTTGATTTATTCATGTTCACCCTTTTTTATTGACAAACAAGTTGATGAAACAAGAATATCTGCAGTCTTGTTTAATTAAAGACATCATCTCGTAAGTTCTATGGTAGTGTCGTTTACTGATTTTTATTTGAAAATTAAAATATAGTTGTGAACTTATTTTAATTTTTCATTTAAAATCGGTAAACGACAGTAGATACAATGACCATGTCAGCAAATACAATTTATCATTGAGTCAAATGCTGACTGACGTTTTTCATACTAATTGTTAGTTAATTTTTTATACACTGAATTGAGAACGGATTTTTCCATTTTTTCCCGATCATGACAAGGAGCATGCGGCGGGTCTGACCGATCGGCAGGGGATGCTCACACCTCCATGGCACCTGATCCTACCTCTGATGTTTTGGAGGTCCGTGTTTGCTTTGCTCCTATTCTTGTATTGTTTTATGGAGTTTTGATATTGAATACTGTTTTAATCTCCATATCAATCATTCATGAAATTTACTGACGTAGCAGTGACATAGAATTGAATTGTCAGTGTGTGTGTGTGTGTGTGGAAGGGGGGGGGGGGGGTAAACTTATTTGAAAAAAATTTGACAAGCGAAAAAAAAACAAATATATGATTCGGGAGGGTGAATCAGTTCCTTATCCAATGTTATTCAATACTTTTGTACACTTACTTACTACTTTAATAAACAACTTGTGGAGGTTTCAATAAACATTTCTATAGTAAGAAAAACGCTATGCCTTGAAAGGGGGGATATTTGATAATATTATATATCATATGGAAATCACGTTTAAAGAGGAAGAGAATGTTTAAACAATTCCTAAGATTACGATTAGAGCAGACCTTTCCGGCAAGCTCGGATTAGCACCTCCAATACGTAAAGTTCATTTGTTGTTTTCTGTGTTAAAAATGTAGCATCTTTTCATTTCATGAAGTTATAGTTTGTATGTGGTACATGCATGTGTGCGTGTGTAAGGGGTAGGGCAGGATGGATTTGAATGTTGTGTTTATTTTTCCGTTCTTTGGAAAGGTCTGGAAAATTGCAAAAGGTCCGCCCTTACCCTTTTGATATTAGCTCCAAACAACTTTTTTCTCTTGAAATTTAAATGTTCATTGAAACCCAACAGTTTTTGTTAAAGCAATTTATGTAGTAAGATTGTGTTTAAAAAGTACTGAAAGATGTTGGACTCAGAACAGACCCCCCCCCCCTTCTTCGAACAAAAATTGTCTCTTTTTTTGCCTTTTCCGCATGTCAAACTATTTTCAAGTAAGTTTACCCCCCTCCCCCTCCCCCCACTTTCAAATTCGATTCTACGTGACTGTTATGTCAGCGATTTTCGTGAATAAGAGACCGAACATGACTTAACAGCCTGTTTGTAATAATAGGAGATTTAATATGAATAAAATATATCGTTTATAATAAAAATTGTGCATTTTAAGTGATTAAATATAAAATTATATATTCCGTATTCCGTTCCGTTTTCCGTTCCGCGTTTTAGCAACACCCTTCATCTCCCTACGAGAATACAACCTGAACTGACATAATATAATCATAAACTTGGCGTTTAAACCTCTAACATGTAGGAAAACATAAAACACCAAGCAAATTTGAGACGGGATACACTTCGATGTTTCCTGTCTATAAACCATGATAACTTAATAATTCCTTTCTTCCTCAAATAAGAAAGTAGTGAAATAATTATTTTAGCTAAATAACATAATATATCTTAAAAATTAATGAGTCTAATTACGCAAGTATTCAAATACTTTCTGTCTTACATTATTTACACTGCAGCGCCATAATTGTTTTACGCCTGACTCAGAATGACATTATGACGGGCGCGCTTAGTACAAGTTGTGATTGCGCACTTGCCTTCATACATCAGTTTATTAAAGCATTATTAAAGCAGTGAATATAGAACATTAGTTTTTAAAAAATGCTACTCACATTTAAAAGTATCGGTAGAAATATACCTATTTGGACAAGGAGGGTCGTACGAGCTGCAATCTGTAAAGTGATTTTCTTGAACAATATTCCCTCTTTCGTTATACTCTGCACAGACAGCTGAAAGTTAATCGAAAAAATGGAGCAGAAATATAAGTTTCCAGACTGTTTATCGATTATAAAAAATAAGTGGTTGTACAATTAATAACAACTTTTGCAGATTCTTAAAATGAAAACTTTGCTTGCGTAAAACCACTTACAATTTCTAATAAAACTTCCTAATCTCGGTCGACGCCTTGAAAAAAATCAACAACCGATATCGATGACCAAAATCAAATGATTTGAAAAAATACCTACGAAACGAAATTATTGCAGGTTCACTACAAACTTCAATTAATAAATCCTGGAAAGGGTTGGCAAGGCAGTGATACACAAAATTGTCTGCTGTTGTACAATTTTGCTTCACAGCAGAACAGTTCTTTTTGTGGGCAGCTTTATCCCATTCATCCTTAATCGTTGGGCATGACGGCACATAAACTACTGTTCCCGGAGAAGCAGAGCATATACCACAAGATCCCAATTTTCTACAAAGAATTACATTTGAGATCAAGCATAATCACATCTTTATCAATCAAATGAATTAAAGTTTCTCTTGAATTAATTTGCAATGACTGCAAAAATGTTACATTTAATAATTCTCAAAATAAATCTGTATTCCAATTTTTTTTAATTTGTGCAATCTCTGCAAAAAAAAAAAAAATAACGAACATTTCAAATAATGGGGATTTTTCTATATCCAAGGGCCGCCTGCATGTCGCAGTGTTAAAGCTCTAAGATACGTGAAGTGGGGAGTCTATCCTTACGTCCTGATTTCGATTCCCACTGTGGAACATGGAGACTGGTATACCCAAAGTCTCGTATCGCAGTAGGCGCTGGCACAAAAAAAGATTTCTAATGGTTCTGAGTGCAGACCATAGGGCCGAATGTATAGCTCTCCACCGGCAGGTGGTGGCGTCCTCGTATGAGTGAAAATGAAAGGGGTGTTAAATACCATTCTAGTACAATCAATCAGACAAAACTCTGTCCAAAATGGTGCGATCGAGCTTAAAACATAACTTTTGACCTAGATATTCTCAAGATAAATCTCTCTACCATCTGCATTCATTTCAATGTTTCCAATCTCTGGAAATAAAATAAACGACAACTGCAAATTATCATAGTTTTAATAAGTCCAAGGGACATAGCTCTGTTCAAAATGACGCAGTATTACTTGAAACAGAAGTTGACCTAGATAATAAATTTGTATATTTAATTTGATTTCGATATAGGAAATCAAACGGAAACTGATTGTGGATCGGCAGACAGCAGCAAAGGAGTTTGTTATACCCTTATAAATATCATTCTATATATTTATTACTTATGAAAAGTCCAACAAAAGAACAGTTAACAGCAAGGTAAGAAAGAAGGGAAGAGTATGTTTTGTGATAAATAATTTTTGTTATACAATAGATATATAATTGATTTTGTTCTTTCTCAGCTTGATGTTTTATATTTACTGAAGAAGCCATAATTTTCCATATAAAATAATTGATATTGTTATACCCTTATAAATATTATTCTATATATTTATTACTTATAAAAAGTCCAACAAAAGAGCTGTTTATTACATCGGTCTTACAATTTCACTATTGACCGGTCTTACATAAGAATTGTTAGACCGCAACGTCACTCGTCTGTTACGTCACAAGTAAGTTCGATATCGGCGACGCGAAAATAGCCGAAGTTAAGACCTACAAGAGTTGTTGCTTACAGCAAGGTAATGAAGAAGGGAATAGTACGTTTTGTGATGAATAATTTTTGTGATACAATAGATATATAACTGAGTTTGTTCTTTCTCAGCTTGATGTTTTATATTTACTGAAGAAGCTATAATTTTCCATGTAAAATAATTGATAATATACCGTGTATTGATTAAATTGATCAATCTTAAATGAGTAGTGAAGGGTATAACAAAACAGTTATAGACTGGGATTCGGGCAACATATGATTTGTTGGACCTGAAGGTCAAAATGTTGCCCTTGGCCTGCGGCCTCGGGCAACATTTTGACCTTCAGGTCCAACAAATCATATGTTGCCCTCATACCCAGTCAATAACTGTATAATATAGCGTGTATTGATTAAATTGATCAATCTTAAGTGAGCATTGAAGGGTATAACAAAACAGTTATAGACTAGGATTCGGGCAACATATAATTTGTTGGACCTGAAGGTGAAAATGTTGCCCGAGACCGCAGGCAATCATATGTTGCCCTCATACCCAGTCAATAACTGTATAATGTCTTCTCTTCTTCGAATGGGGGCACCGGTCACGGTAGCCTAGTGGTAGAGCGTTCGCTTCGTGATCGGGAGGCCCGGGTTCGATTCTCGTTCGCGGCGCCGCGTCATACCTAAGACGTAAACAAAGGTAGTGACTGTTCCTTCGCCAAGCGTTCGGCACTAGAAGTGAAAGTCACGGGTCTTTCGGATATGACCTTAAAAAGGTAGGTCCCGTGTCACGGTAGGCGCTGGCACGATGAAGAACCCTTACTGTTCAATGGCCCTGAGTGCCGAGTATAGGTCTAAATTTGAAGCCCTTCACCGGCATACGGTGACGTCTCCAGATGAGTGAAAAATTCTCAAGAGGGACGTTAAACAATATACAATCAATCAATCAATCGAATGGGGGCATTAAGGGGGGACCATGTCCGAAAAGTCTTCGTGTGAAATTTTCAAAATTATGACATTTCTTTTCTGACCACTTGCTCTTAATTTTTAGGTATTAAAAGCAATACCTTTATTTGCTTATTTTAAACAGGAGCACGTGCAAAAACAGTATGAAATGCTAAAAATAGATTATTTTCAGACATTATTGTACTTCTCCAAATATGCGCTAAAAAGAACCAAAAATGTCAATTCTCATTCGAAATCAATATATATTTAATTATATGACTTGTATCTTTAAAATGAAGGCAAATATACAAATATATTATAATATATATAAAAAAAATTTGAAATTTAGTTCGCAAAAAATGATAAAGGAGCACAATGTAAGTATTACCCCGTTTTTCTTGTCATATTCTTTACAATTCCGACATGCATTACAGGTAATATCTTAAAAAGTCTTTGTGTAAAATGTTTTTGTCGTCATTCACATTTTTTGAAAGAAACGATTCATTTCCTTATTTTAACAAAGGAAAAAGTATACCTTTATGATAAAATAGACGAGAAATATGACGTTTTGTTTTATTTTCGTACTCTTGTGTCCTAAATATTGACCATTCTGCGCTAAAAAAGGTAAGTTAGCACTGACAAACATCTGAATATAAAACTGTTGTGCGAAAATTGTAGCATTTTGTTTTGATTAGAAACAATTTAATCAGATTAATTCTTTTCTTCTTCATTCTAATGATTCTGCCCCCCCCCCCATTTCCCCGTCACCAACCAACACCTATTAGAACCTAGGAACGACTTTATACAAAAAATTCTACATGTACTACAGCAAATATAGGTGCAAGCACATATTTTTAATTTTTTTCTTAGTTTTATCCAGAAAATACAATTAATGGTAATCATAAAATTTAACATATTTTCTTGATTTAAGCCGCTTTCCTTGCTGAATTTTATCTTAAATCTTTTTACACTTATATATCAGCATATCGTCGAGGTGTTTCTTCAAAACTGAAATTGCTATGAATTATCTACCAAAGGAAGAAAATTTTAATATTAACAACCTCCATAAATCAAATAAAACTCTTATCAATGGTGAATAAATTTTCTTTTTGTAAATTGTGTACGTTGTTGATTAATAACAATGAAATGTCTATATCACAGTTGCAAAAGGTAATAAAAAACAACGTCGCTATTGTGACGTCACATAACGCTGCTTTGACGTAGAACGACATAGGTCCCCCATGAAAAGAAACAGATAAGTTTGCAAACGTTTTAAAAACTCTCAGAGACGAATTCAAGGTATTGAAGAGAACAATTTTTAGGTCACCTGAGTCATTGAAGTGACCTATGGTTTTTCAATCCGTTTACGTCCTTCGTCGTGGAAAGATGAATTTGATGGTGCAAGTGTAGCATAGATATGTAGTACCCCCCTCCCCCGAAAAAGCATTGCTACATGTCTGTATCAAGCTGTCTTTAGATTGGTGAACTTCAATTTATTTTGCTAACTTTGATGCACAAAACAGACCGCACAATTTCTCATAGATGCCTTTGTCATATTTTCATGAAACTCTACGTAATAAGGATCACAAACTAAAGGTGTGCAAATATTATTTAAATTTCTCAACATAACCATTGTTGCCATGAAAACTGCAAAGTTGATATAGATTTTAAAATGAAATTCCAGGAATTATCCACTTTTCAAAGCCTGCGAGATGATATTAAGTTTCCTCCGAAGAAAAAAATTGTTTGAATCATCTGTATTTCAAAAATAGAACTTGTTGAAGGAAATTTTAATTCAATTTGTTGTTATCTATACATTGCAAGTCCTTCCTAAATTCCTGTGCCATAGAACAATGTTTAATTTGTATTTAATTAAAAGTATTTGTATATGAGAGAATTTCTAATTCGCCATTAAATATATAAAAACGAAGTGCAGATTTAAAAGTGAAATTCGCCATTGAATGGCATGTTCTAATTCCAGTAATGCTAATAGTTTTACGGGCAAGTTGTCTTAAGTCGAACTTTCTAGCATTTTTCACAGGTGCTCGTGGACAGGATTATCCTTAACCCCCCCCCCCCTCCCTCCACCCCTCAAACTTTCAATGTTAAAGAAAAATCTGATTTTTTCTTCATTTCTAATCTCTGACAACTTAATCTATATGTTTCTATTTGAAAATCACATAAATATATCGATCATATGCAATTTCTATACACAGTGGTTTCACGTATATATATATATAAAGACAGAAGGTACGCAACTTAGGTTTGTTTACATCGAGGTACCACCTGGCAAAATCAAAAGATTATTATATTTTAAAATGCTTTACCTTTCGTGTCAGCTATTTTTCACAGTAGAGACATTATTTCCCTTTCTGAAGAATTAATTCAATTGTTTTGTTGAATCGTAAATAGTCCTATAAACCATCATTTATCACTCGCAACTTGCATAATTTTGAAATGGCCATACTAGTCGCTACAGAAGTAAATGATCAACGACACTTGCACGACGAACGACAACTCTCATCTATATTCCGAATGTTATTAAAGTCACGGTAAAAGACGAGAGTTCTGAAAAAAGTTCGGGAAAAATCATTAGGCGCAAAATACGAAGTTAAAAAAAACGTTTTTACAAACGAACGAAATACAAACAGTGAAATTGGGGACAGAGAAGAAATTCCAATATCTAGTTGGCTTCTCAAAAATTCAGAAGAAGGTACAATCGTTGATTTTGTTGATTTAAATGATATTAAGCAAAAATATCCTGGTGAAGCCTCAAGTGTTTCCAATGGCAATTTCGCAAGTAAACATTTCAAAAATGTCAAAATTAAAAACGGACGTTGTAAGGACAACTGGGCAAAAATGACCAAACGTTAACATGGTTTAAAATGGAAAGAAACTATTGAGACTGACTTTAGCTCATTGCCATCTCATGTACCTGAAGATTTTTTTCTTTTGTCAAAATCACACAATTCTCTCACAATAGGATATTTAATTGGCATCAAAATCAATGGGATGAAAGTGCTGACTGAAATTCTAGTGATGTCAGACTATACATGGAGCTGGCAGGTTATGGGAAAGAAAATTTTGCCTGATATGTTGAGTTTACAAAAAACATTTTGTGCAAATACAATATTTGATATCATTGAGTTACAATTATGTTACTGTGATGGTGCAAAGACAATTACAAAGTCCAAAGTTAAAGAAAATGTTTTTAAAAAACATGTATCACATGTTTCTGATGAAAATTGTGTAAAAGTTCGTTACAGATCAAATAACTGTGTCATCATCCTCCCGTTTAAAAATTCCAATCAAGCAAGCAAATCGTGTGTGAAGTGCAAAAATCTGGGAAAGCCTCCACATGAGAGGGAATCTACAAAGACACAAAATGAACCAGTAAATTCTGATGTCAATAGAAACCAAAAATTTCAAATAAATTCAGCATGTACTGGTACTAATACTGATGACAGTAGTAAGTAATTATTATGTGAAAGAGATGATGATGATATGTCTAAAGTCTTTGCAACTGTTTTCCCTGAATGCAGTAAGAAGATGAAAAAATTTCTACTTTCACAAAATATGGCCCTGGGGAGAAACCCCCATGGAAGACAGTGGGATAGAGATATTATCCGCCTGTGTCTGACTCTATGGTGTAGAAGTCCAAGAGGCTATAGTGATTTAAGAAATGGCAAATTTTTATTTCTTCCATCAAAAAATTACTGCAAAATTTTTAAAATTCTGTTAACAAAAAGCAGGAATTAATAAAGATATCCTCCATTGGATGTCAAATGAAGCCAATCTTAAAAATATACCTCCTGAGGGTTTTGAAGGGGGATTATTTATTGCGAAATGTCAATACAGTCTGACTTACAATTTAAAAAAAAGAAAATGAGAAATAGAACTTATTAGTTTTACTGAACTTTTACCAGAATCAATAGTTTTTATCAAATATAGTCAAACAAAAATGAAAAAAAAATTTGGCGACACGTCTTACAGCTTGTGTTTCTGGGCTCAACTGGTTTTAGATTCCCATTTGCCCATTTTGCAACAGACACAGCATCTGGCCATAAACTATATTTATTACTATGGAAATCTGTGAACATTTATTAAATTTTGGGTTCAAAATTCAGTATGTCAGTACTGATGGAGCACAGAAAAATAGAGATCTCTTTGAACTTTAATTACCAGAATTTGTGTCTGCAAATCCAGTTACCTGTCATTTAAAAATATTTACTGTCATTCTGAAAAAATCATTTTCATAATGGATTTTTCTCATGTTGTAAAGAAATTAAGAAACAATATTTCAAAGAGTGGACGAGAAGCTTCTTGCAAACGGCATCTGAAATTTGAAGACCACTTTATTGAATGGAATCATTTCATACGTGCATATTTATGGTATATTTCCACTCACCCCTTCCCTATTCACCATAAACTTTCACAAGAGCATCTGTTCTTAACATCAGAAGCCAAAATGCGTAATCACCTGGCCGAAGAGGTATTGAATACTGAAATGCTTCATCTGATGGAGATGTTCCAAAGGAGTCTTGGTGACGCAGGTTCTGAATTGATTGCCACTATAAAACTGTTAAAAAACACAAGTGTTTTGATAAAAAATTTCAAAGATAACAGGCCAATAATTGATGTCAATGATGATAGACTCAAACAGAATCATGATGCAATGGACTTTTTCATAAATTGGGAAAAACAAATTATGTCAGATGAGTGTAAAAAAGAAGGGTTCATGTCTGATGTCATATCAGACAATGCAAGACATCATTTCCAGTGTTCTAGGATTTGTATGTATAAAATCAAAAAGCACAGTGATTCTATTATTCCATGCAGACTTAACAGTGATGTCATTACATAAAAACATATTTTGTCAACAAAGAACCCTGCATAATGGGGCCAACATAAACCCTACTTACCTTGGTTACTGCCATTCCATGAACTCTGTCATCTTAGGACAAACAACAATTTCTCGGAAATCAAATTACTGGTGGAGAGGCTGCACAGACTGCTGAATGTCATCAAATTCCACAAAAGGTCAATTTATTTTTCTTATTGGAATTCTGTATTAGAAAGATATACAAATAATTACAGAAAAATCTACATTTATATATCATTGTAAAGAAAAATGTGCATAAAATTACAGTTTTAAAGAAATGATAAAATTATAGATAAAAAAAATTAATGTTTCTGCATAATATATATCACCATCATTGAGGGGCGGGGTTAAAGTAAATTACCTTATACATGGTTAAATGCACATAGGACAAGAGAAAGGCTCTCCTGACTCTGTAAGTCTTAACCACTCTTGTTCATCATGTAGATGTACACAGTCTCTATGGTACCACAAGGAACATTCATCACAACATATCCAAAATTCTCCCTCCACAGATGATTTATTAAAAACTGTACATCTATCTTCAGATTCATCAGATGTTTTTGCTCTTTTCCCCCTTCTCTTTCCTTTTCCTTTTCTTTTTGACTGTCTTTTTTCGGTTCTTACTGGTATTTTAGGTTGCCCTGAAGGAGCAGTCCCAGAATTCAAAGGTCCTGAGGGAACAGTCCCAGAATTCAAAGGTCCCGAGGGAACAGTCCCAGAATTCAAAAGCCCTGAAGGAACAGTCCCAGGATTCAAAGGTCTTGTAGATAATCCACTTGGTCCAGGTTCTTCGGTATCAACCGTATTGGATTCAGCAGGTATGTTACCAATATCACTATTCAAAATTTTTTGGAAATTAAATCACTTATTTCATTTTCCCTCTTTTGACCAGAAATCTTAAGGTTCAAGTCCTTGTAAATGAACATTCATTCAGATAGTTTCCATTTTGCATAAGTTCACTTTTCAAACGCAAAAGAGAAGCCTGTTTGTTCTGTAATTTGTCATCAGTGTAAAATTTCATGTTAAAGTTCCTCACTACCTTTTTGGATTTTTCCATCACCTTTTTCGCGCAGGGCCTTTCCCTTTTCCTTTTTCAAAAATGCAAGATAGTCCCTGCGAAACTGACTAAAACTCACTTTAAGAAATAAATTGACAATCCCATAGAATAAGTCCAAGAAATTTTCACTTATCATAACAAGTATGTCCATAAGTTTTTCAATACTGTCCTCCTTTCCAGTGTGTTTTGTATTTGAGACAAAATTCAGCCATGATTTAAACAAGTCTTCATCACTTAGTATTTGCTTTTTAACTTTATGAAATAAAGTTTTCCCAACAGAAACTAAGTTTTCATGAGTCAGTTTTACACGACACGAAATTTTTAGTTTTTGGAAATAAAACAAATGCTAAATGTGTTATATTCGTCAGCCCTTCTCTTTGATTCTGTTTCCGTTTTATTTAAAAAAGAGTCTCTGGATCACTAGTTGAAGTCTGTAGCTCATCATATGATGCACACAAAGAATTCAGTATATCCATCTGATTTTGATCATATTTCAATTGTTGTTCTTTTCCCTTCACAAATAATGAGTTTCTTATTTTTCCTGATAGATTTTGCTTTATTTTAGCTATGACAAATCCACTGACATATCTTATGTTCCTTTGCCCGCAGAGTCCAATTCCTTATCTACAACAGGTTTTGTCAAATGTTCTGGAGCAGCTAATTCAAGATGAGCAGATAAAGTAAGGAAAAAGTTTCTCTCAAGATAAAACAATATTGATGTTAAAACTCTTGAAGCAGGTCCTTCAACATCCTGTTTATATGAATTCAGTAAAGTTGTTGTACCATGTTTGTATTCTTGTGAGTTCATGTACTTATGGAATTTAATAAAAAAAAGTCATTTCTGTGCTTTTGTGAGAATTTCTTCTCCTCCTCAGGAAAACAAATCAGTCCAATGTCATCTATAAGGGAAGATTGCTGTATAAACCAGTCATCAAATAACTTGTAATTATTCAAGACACTTCGTTTAAAGTCCATGATTTGTTTCTCTACTGGAGTATCCATAAATTCCATTGAAACATTTTCAAATGCAGTTAGTGAAGGTTGTGTTTCAAACACTCTGCAACCAAAATCATTAACAATATTTTCTAAATATTCAAGTTTATCAATTTCAGAATCTAAAAAATCTTAATCATCATCATTTAATGTGTCTTTAATGTCACAGTTTGTACTTTCAAACTCTGATCCTGTGTCAGTATCTGAATTGTCTGGTACTATTCTTTCAGTATCCTTTCGATTTCTACAGCACGATAAATCAGGTTGCAACTCACCAAGTGTCAATGCTGCATAGAAGTTGTTAACATTTTTGGGATGTTTTTTGCATAATTTTTTCTTGAAATTCACAACCTTTAATCCATCAACAGAAACGGCACGTCCAACTGCAACTCCTAATTGTCCTGGTTGAAAGCAAGATTGACAATAAACAATGACATTTTTTAAATTCATACCCTGTGACTTATGTATTGTGAAGGCATAGGCTACCTTAATAGGAAGCTGTACTCGTTTAGCAAGCACAATCTTGTCAACAGGATCATAGGTGGTGAATGTTACAGGCACAATTATTACCGAGTATATATTGGCTTTAATTTGAAATTTTACATCAATGGAACCCTCATTCAAATTTGAAACTGTTTCTCCGAGCCCATTTACTAAACAGTTACTTAGATTTTTGGTAAGCATGACTTGGCAACCAATTTTCAATCCCAAATTCTTAGGTGCAGGAAAGCGATTCAGATAGTTTTCCGAAACTTCATCGTCTGATTTGTAGACTCTTAGTTCACCTGGAACTTGTTGCAATTTGGTGTAGTTAAACATGTCCACATCATAATTTCTTGCAAAGAGTTGCACACATGAATCTTCATTTTCCAAGGGTCTGTCAAGTGAATTCACAAAAGTCAATGTTTCATCAGAGGGAATACCAATTTCTAGTTCATTTACACATTTTATAAGTTGTTGTTCATCTTGGCGATGGATAATGTTTAAATTAATTTTATGAGGAAAGAATTCATCAAACCATGGCAACATAAAACAATGATTACCCGAATCACCATAAAGCTCATTAGACACTGGAGAAAGTTGGTAAAAATCTCCAACTATAATAAATTGAATGCCACCAACCAGTTCAGATGACTTTCTGACATGTTTGCATAAATATTGAACCTGATTAAAAAATGTTGCACTGATCATAGACACTTCATCAATAATCAGGGTTTCAACAGATAGAATGTTTTTTTTTTTGCTGTCTGAAATCTTTCATCATGTTCAACTATGGTAATATTTCTTCATTAAGATACCTGCTATCTTCAATGCCAGCCCATCTGAGGAGTGTTTGTGCTTTTAATTCCCCAAAATGGGTTGCAGCAATACCTGTAGAGCACACAATTGCTTTTTAATTTGTATTGCAAATGTTTGACAATTTCTTTGGTAAGATAATTTTTACCTGTTCCAGCTTGACCAGTTAAAACCAAATTGTGGCCGTTAACAGCGAATTCAAACGCATATAATTGATCTTCTACCATAATTATATATCAAATGCCTCAATTTTTCCTTCGATTTTTTTCCCGAACTTTTTTTTTCGGAACTCTCATCTTTTACTGTGACTTTGATAACATTCGGAATAAAGAGGAAAGTTGTCGTTCGTCGCGCAGGTGTCGCTGATCATTTACTTCCGTAGCGACAAGTAGGGCCATTTCAAAATTATGAAAGTTGCGAGTGATAAATGATGGATTATCGGACTATTTACGATTCAACATGACAATTGAATTAATTCTTCAGAAAGGGATTGTATTGTATATTGTTTAACGTCCCTCTCGAGAATTTTTCACTCATATGGAGACGTCACCGTATGCCGGTGAAGGGCTTCAAATTTTGACCTATGCTCGGCACTCAGGGCCATTGAGCAGTGAGGTCTTTAAAGCATTTTAAAATTTCACTTCAAAGTGCCGAATCTTTTTATCGACTGGGTCAGTCGCGGCCGAGATACGAACTCACGACCTCCCGATCACGGAGCGAGCGCTCTACCAACTGAGCTACTGTGAACGGTTTCAGAAAGAGAAATAATGTCTCTACTGTGGAAAATAGCTGACACTAAATCTCTCTTTATATATATACCTCGATGTAAACAAACCTAAGTTGCGTACCTTCTCTCTTTATATATATACGTGAAACCACTGTGCATATGATCGATAGATTTATGTGATTTTCAAAAAGAAACATATAGATTAAGTTGTCAGAGATTAGAAATGAAGAAAAAAAATCAAATTTTTTTTTTAATATTGAAAGTTTGAGGGGTTGGAGGGGGGTAAGAATAATCCTGTCCACAAGCACCTGTGTGCGCATCCCTAATCTGACGTTTGTCCATAGAATCTGATAAACCTCACTATATATTAATACGTGGTCTTAAGGTTCTATTCGATGAAACAAAATATCATGAGATTCTGTAAAACGTTATGGAAAGTATGAAATGTAGCAATTTTTTCACGATTATGAAAATGTATTTGACAATTTATATTTTTCTCAGTTTGATGGGGTCATAACATCAAATGAACAATTATTGCATGAAATTTTGCACATAAATTATCATTTAACAAGAGGCTACGGAGCCACATCGCTCACCTGAGCATTTTCTAGGAAAAAATCAAATCATCAGTTTAGTACTGAAAAGCATAAGTGCATAACTAGAAGGTCCCGACCTACCACTAAAAGGGAGATGGAGGGTTAAAATTTGAATAAAGTTGAATCAGATCCTTACAATTAAGAATACTGGTATTTACATATTTTTGACTTAATGTGAATTTTCATAATGTGTCCCTACCCTACCCCTTGGGGTAATGATTAGGCCGAACGAGTTAATTTCTTTGTGTTTTCTATATCAATATTTCTTCACTTAGGGCAGTTATGCTAGTTTAAGAGTTGTTGTAAAATGTGCTTTATAGATAATAATTAATTTCGTTACAACATGTATTGGTAACAATCCTCTGTTAAAACTAATGTCCAAATAACTGTATCTCACTTCTATTCTCAATGACCGTGTAGTGTAGGGCAGCGCCGCGAGAATTCCATCGGCATCGAAAACAAGCTTTTAATTTGCCTAGATAGCCAAGCGGTCTAGCGCGCTGTTCCTGCACTGCTAGGAGACAGATTCCGAAGGTCGGGAGTTCAACCTCGGGCTGGGGCGGAAGTGGCTATCCATGTAAAAGTGAATTTCTTTGTGCTTTCTATATATATATATATATATATATATATATATATATATATATATATATATATATATATATATATATATATAGTGTGTGTGTGTGTGAGAGGGTGTGTGAGGGTGTGAACAATATAATTTTGCTATTTTTGAAAATACTCTTTTAGATTTTACCTATATATTCCTATGTAAAACTTTGATCGCCCATCGGGGCCCCACCTTACTTCGGGTGTCGATCATGGTTTTTGATAAAATTTGAATCTACATACCTTAGAATGCTTTCACACTAATATGGCGAATCTTGGTTTTTCTGTTATTGAGAACAAAATTTTGAAAAAGTTTTCATTTATATTCCTATATAATAATTTGAGCGTCCATTGTGCCTACCACTGGGGATCAAGATTTGAACAAATTTGAATCTACGCTACATATACCTCACAATGCTTCCACATGAGTTTCATCTTTCCTGGTCCATTCGTTCTCGAGAAGATGTTTCGATGATTCCATTTATTTTTATCTATTTTTAATTACCCCCCCCCCCCCTTTGAGGAGGTTGTGACCCTTCATTTGAACAAACTTGAATATTTCTTTTTATGTAAGGATGCTTTGTGCTAAGTTTTATTGAAATTGTCCCAGAGGTTCCTGAGAAGAAGATGAAAATGTGAAAAGTTTACGAAAACAACGACAAGGACGACAGCGACGACAGACAACAGACAAATGTTGATCAGAAAAGCTCACCCGCGTGCCTCGGTTTAGGTGCGCTAATAAGGTTTGAAGGAAAAAATTTGCGCAAAAATGTCAGTAATAAAAGATCGAAAAAGTTCAATGATTTTTTTGCTATATATCTACAGTCATGCAATATGTGGTGTACAGTCAAAATAGAACATTAAAAATAAAAACATATTTGAGTAAGATGGACTGATTGAAATTATATATTCAAATTATGAATGATGGGATGCTAATGTTTTCTTTAAATAAATTAATCCTTTAAACATGTCATCCTATCCTTAATGTTACACTGAGGGAATCAAAGGTAACGTTCTAATAAATCAACGTGGTAATCGAACAAATTTATTTAAAGATAAAATCGCATTTAATTATTGAATATATTTCAGATAAATATTAAATAAAATAATTATTTTCTTCATTTAAAGTAAGCACACTTCAGCTTTCGGTTTGATAATGCAATTTAATACGACGTCATGTGGCGTCAGAGTCTACAGTTTAGACGCAACAAACTTATAATGCCATGTGTCGTGTGAAGAGCCCGATCTAAATAAAAACTGATTAAGTATCTGTGATCGCCCTAACGGACGCACCATCAACATATAAATATTTTTTCTGCCTAGGTCTCAGAGACCATGCAATTATAACATCTCATTTTAAACACATTTTAGTTGTTATTGATTCTTTATCGGTAACAGTCATAGGTCGTCTGCAGTAAAACGTCGAAATTTGAAACATCTGTGACAGACTCATCGGTGTTTTTAATTTCAAGCTCACTGGGGAATATTGAGTCGATTTGGATGGAACAGATGTGAATGTAAACAATAAAACTGAGCTATAATTATGATCAGTCATACGAATAGGTTATAAATACCCTTGCATGAACAGGATAAGCAATGTGAAGAGACGATAAGCCATTGAATATGTACACAGGGCACCACGCCATCATTACATCCTCCACATGTCTGGGGAAAACCTTAAATAGAAAAAAATAGACCATGAATTAAAATCTAGATATTTTAGGTGATTTTGTTTTTTTTTTTTTTATTTCACATTATCTGCACGAGCTTTCATATATATAATTGATTAAATCACTATTTAAATACGATGACTATTGAAATAATAATAATTTCAATAGTGGTTGAAAATGTATTCCAATAAAAAATTAAACATAGGTTGCAACCATTATTGAAATACGACTTTATTGAAATAGATATTACTATAATGATCGTATTTCTTTTTTTCCTAGTGGTTGCAACACCACACAAACGTATTTTTGTGCGTACATGCTTAATTACCTCTATATGCTTTGATTAGGATTTTGTCCTGTACAATATCAACTATATTTTAATTAATTCAATGTTTACGTATAGTTAAAACCCATAGTTACTGTAGCTTCTTTGGCCTGCCAGAAAGTTGCCTTCGTCTCTATTTCGGCTCTCGGCCTCTAAATTAGTTCTTAATCATATTTTATCCTGGTTTTCAAAGTTTGTCAAGCATCAATTTTCACCTTTATTGAATATTTGGCCTCAATAATCAGTATTTGATTGTTACATTCAGTTCTGAAATTTTGAAATTTGTTTTCCCTTTTCAAATCCTTAGTAGATCAAATACATTGATTTTTTTCTTTGTTCTTTTGTAAATATAGACATTACAACAACCACGTATACGTACTAACACCAATCTCAATGATTTTTTAATAATTTTTTGATCAGTTTCCATAATTTTACTGCTTATCTATTGATCAGTTATCATTTCGATGGAAGTTATCCAGTGCATATATTATAGTCTTATTTGAAATGAGAAACAAACCATGGGGGGTTAGTAAACCTGGATTTATTTTCTTTTTTAATTAAAATTCATAATTTCAAATGAAGATGCATTTTGAAATACATATTAAAAACCTTCCTGTTATAATCACAATAGTATTTAAGTACATTCTTAAAATTACAATTTTGGGATTAAAAAGTAAAAAAAAAAATGTTTCACTGTAACAGATCTGTAGTATTGTTCCTTGGTATTGCAACATTTTGTTAATACTTACACTTTCAATACAAATCTCTGTAATATGCATAATTTTACCCGTTTCATTGCTATATGCCTCAAGGGGCCTTGTATGGCAAAAAACCATGATCAGTATCTCTATTTTTATTAATGATTGCTGAATATTTTAAAGAAGAAAATCGGTGTATTTAAATAGAAATATTACAATATTACATTGAAAAAATTAATTAATTTAAGGCCACCAATTTAGATAATTATGTACTTTTTTATTGTGTTTATGTCAAATAATTGTTAGTTGTACAATTGTACATGTACTTCATAACATAAATCTATAGCATATCTTATGGATCGCCGGGACTGTCTTATACGAGGATTAAGCATTATATGCAGTATTTCATTCGATATATGCGCTTCTATTTTAGTTATATAAAGTAGTTTTTCATTATATCGTGCACAACTTGTAGTAGCTTTGATAAGTGGATTCCAAAGATTATACAATGATTCAAAAGCCCATCACATGGCTGCTTTCAGACTCAGCGTAATCAAGTGCGATAACTGTAAACAGCAAACAATACAAAGTTATGGTTCTTACTTATGATCATTACATTCCTCCTTTTCTTAGATTTTCACCTAAGCCAAATTATTTTGAATAAAATGTCAATACTGAAAATTCTGGGTTTTTTTAAAGTTCAAGTCACAATAAAAGTCACTGGAATTAATTACATTAATACAGTTCATAAAATTTACACATTATGTCAAAACAAAGTCTGTGAAACGAGTTGGTAGCCTATGGTCCCGTATTTGTTTTGTACGCAGAGTGTCTCCATGGTAGGTCACGATCTTAGGGTCTTCCATATCATTGACCTTAGGGTCGTTTGCATCATCGTCTGGTACTACACTTTGTTGAACATCTACATCAGTCGCTTCATCTGTTTCGTCAAGTTGGATGTTACCAACTAACTCCAGATTTTTCACTTGCTTTACCTTTCTTAGATATGTACCTCCATATAGTGCTCTCAGCAGAACTTCGTTTCCGCTTCGTTTGATGACTTCGTAATGTTTTGTTTCAAAAGCAGGTGAAAGTTTGTTTTCTTTTGGCTGTTGAACCAACACTTGGTATTCAACTTGTACTTGACTGGCCTTTGCATTTCTACTCTTGTATGCATCTTCTTCCTCTTTCCTCTTTTTCATCCAGTCTTTAACTTGGATGTTTTCCTCCTCTCTCATTTGAAGGCTGGGAATCTTTGTCTTCACTGGATATCGGAAAATGAGTTTGTTCGGCGCAAATCCAGTTACTGTGTGCAGTGTGCTTCTGTAGGCTGATAGGAATTTTGGTAACTTCTTTCATCAATCCTTCAACATGAGCAGTCCTAATAGCTTATAATAAGGTCTGTCGCTCCACATTGCTGTCACTGTCGGGCAATCGGAGGAATAAATTTTCCAAAATAGGTAACCAGTCCAAGGAAACTTCTGACTTCTGATGCGTTTCCTGGTGGTATAGTTTCTGCTTTAGCTTTACCTTTCTCCCTGGTTGGGTCGATTCCCTTATCTGATTAGATGTGTCCCATGAACTTTTGTTTCCGGAGACGAAGTTAACATTTTTCCTTGTTGAATGTCAATCCTTTGTTACCCAGTTTCTCAATGACAGCTAATAATTTGCGGTCATGCTCTTCCACATTTTTTGCGTACACAATTATGTCATCCGACTTATTTTTTACTCCGTCGTATCCTTTAAGTTCTTGCTGGATGATGCGCTGATAAATTCGGGTCCTAAAGTGAAGCCAAAACTAAGATTTTTATATCGAAACATTCCAACGTGACTTACAAACGTGGTGATGTCACGAGATTCTTGAGACAGATCTAACTGATGAAAACTCCATTTAAGATCCAGCTTGCTGAAAATTCAACTCCTATGGAGCTCGTGCAAAATCTCTTCAATGGTAGGTATGGGATATCTCTTTCCAATGATGGCTTCATTAGCTTGCCTTATGCCCACGCATAGACGAATATCTCCTGACGGCTTGGGTGAAACAACGATAGGGATGACCCAGGATGATGGTCCCTCGACCGGCTCAATAATATCCATATCTCTTTAAGTTTGGTTTCAAAGTAATTTAAATTACTTCTCATACTTGTTTTAAAAGTCAGCCTCCGACAGTAAAATTTACATGCGTCACACTCAGAATTCCGATTTCTGTTGCCGTTTTATATCCTAACAGGGCCTGTCCTTTACCTTGGATTACAATAAATTCTTTTTTCACTGATGAATTCCCCACTACAATATCCGCAATAAAACTTCCTAAAGTGTCCAAAGGTTTGGAACTCTCATACGAATAAAAATTCTTATCTGACCTTTCTCTTCTTTAGCTCGTCCGATAGGTATCTGTCAATGACATTACAGCTGGCATAGAGTCGATGATCATTGAAATATCCCCCAATAATTGTGGTCAATGTTGGGTGTTTGGCCCTTCAAATACTGTAAATCGTTTTAATTCCACGAATGTTAAAATTTCACGATATCTCAAAAAGTACCATTTGCGACGGTTTTAATTTCACGCTGCAAGAAATTAATTCAAAATTTCAAAAAAAAAACAATTTAACATTATTAAAAACAAATAATAACATTCACGATGGGTTTAATTTCGCGGAAAATTAATAAATAGCGAACATAGCAAAATTAAAAACATCGTGAATATTTGCCAATCTACAGTATTCATAATTAAGGTAAATGCATAAGCTTCTTCGAAATCCTGTGGATTTCTTGTTTCCACCAGTCAACTCGTTGCTTGTCCCGAGTTTTTGTGAGTCTTCGCTGCACTTTAGTGCACTTAGCGAAATGACCTTGCTGATGACACTTACGGAATTCTTGACCCAGGGCAGTACATGTTGGATCAGACTTAATATGTCCCCGTTTCCTACATCTATAACAAGTTATACATGTGTATTGTTTGTGCCTGTTCTTACATTTGTTCTTTATTCACAAAAGTATCTGAATTCCGTCCTCGTTCAATTCCATCCACTTGTTGTTGACTTTGTTCAAAAGCCCTTCCTATAGTAAACGTTAACGTTTGCTAAAGTGTCAGGTCACCCCGTCTTTTAAGTAATTACCTACGCAGGTGTGACAATTAAATTTTCGATGAGTTTATCCCGAATATGTCCGTTCGCATTATGAAAATTACAATGTACTTCACTCACATTCGGTTCCTGTGTCATCAATCAAAATCCATGACTGTTGAATGGTGTTGAATGGTGTGTTTACTCTAGGTCGAAAGTAGTTGTCAAGCTGCTCCATAGATATGTAGTATACTGTCTCATTTCCTTCGGGTTAACAAGCCGCGGGAAATGTGAAATAAACACCCTGCATCTTCATACTTCTGCAATGTAATAACAAAGCTCTCTTTTGTACCGCATTTGCGATGCATGTACCTTTACCGGCTACAAAAAGCTCAAAAGCTCTGTGCCATTTATGCCATTTTACCGTGGTCGGCTTCCCATCACAATCAAAGGTAGGAATTCCTCCTAATTCAGTTGTACATGTAACTAACTGAGCCATATTATTTCATTGAATCTGTTCTCAATCCTCGTGCCAATAAAGTAGCCTTGCTTATTGGATTCCGGATATTTTACAATTGTTCTATGACCTACCACATGGTCAAAACATGACTGCTTTCAGACTCAGTTTAATCAAGTGCGATAGCTCTAAACAATATACGATATAAAGCTATGGTTCTTACTTATGATCATTACACAACTTACATTAAATTCAATCCATTTATATTATATGATGTAGTTATGCCAATATATATTATGTACATCTCTCATTCTGTGAGGTGTTTTTATCGTTATATGAAGTGCCTTACCATAATATGCCGTGATTATAAAATTTAATGCTGAAGTTCTTACCGAATATGCAGAGAACAAAGCAATAGGTAATAAACTATATACACTATATTTATTATTATATGTGTTATT